TGTTCCCTCTCTCTCTCTCGCTCCGCCATCCCCTCATCAACAAACTATAGTGATAATGGAACACAATAGTTCTAGCTGATGTTTGTGTGTATTACTTTAGATTTCAGTTGGCATAATGATAATAAATTTGATCCATTAGCAGAGCTAATCCATCTCTATTAATTCCGCATCTTAGTTGCCGTTTTTTTTTACTGATGCTGAAGACTGACATAAGTTCGTGTTGAGATGGTATAGGAGACGACTTTTATAGCATTGTAAAGCATGCCTGCAAAATTCATTACCCGAAGAAGCTGTGATCTTTTCGGGCGTAAATTTTGGCGGAGGCGGTGGCCGGGAAGACTGTCTTATACTGCTGCTGCTTGGCACCACGCTTTATAAACTCCTGAAGAGATGTTATTTTACGAGCGCCGGAATTGACGGTATTCCGCGACCCGTCCATAAATCATCCCTCCAATTTATTGCCCACGGTCCCGAACTTATCACCGAAGATCCTAATGCCCCCAGAGGAAGACATGAAAATGATAATACTTTTCACCACTTCCCTTTTACTACCGATCCTTTCCATTATATTTTTCTTTTTGCACCAAAATCACACAGTAATTTTATACAATACAATATTGCAGAAGATAGTCATTAAAATTAAATTCTAGTCTAATAATAATCATTTTAACTCATTCTTGATAATAAATTAAAATGATTATTATAGCATTTTTAGTTCAAGTCTTCAATTCAAGGATAATACCTTTTACAAAATATATAAAATTTGATCATTAGAAAAAAATCTAGACGAATAATACAAATGATACTACTACTTCTCACTAATTTCATCTTGTTATTAAAAAAGGTTTATGTTTATTTTTTTAATTAAATTCACTAAAAAAAGTGTATTTGATGTGTTTGATCAACAAACTTAAAATATTAAAAATTCTATTTGGCAATTTGGTGAAAATTTCATTAATATTGTATTCTTGTAACCTGCAATAGACATAAAAAATAATCTTGTATATTGCAATTGCATAAATTATGTTTAAAGTTTTCGATAAATTTAGTTATGTTCCATTAGGTATTTACAAGATCTGAAGAAGACATTAATAGAATACTTGAAATCAATCCATATAGAATTTCCATCATTTCTATATAAAACGCGAAGTATAATTAATGCATTCAATTTCCATTGATATTCAATAAAATAATACGTAATGCGGTGCAAATCAATGCGGATAACATCAACTGTAACTTTTAACGTTTTCATTTGAGATTCAGAGAATTAATTCGACTATTGTAATCTAAGGACGTTGCTTAACTCTCTGTTAAATTCTTCATATTATTACGGCACGACTGATTCGAGTATTCTAATCCACCTGTTTTGCTTAGTTCTCTATTCCTATTCTAAATATTATTACAATTCTGTAAAAACAGAATTTATTTTCACAATAAATTTAATATGTGCAAATTTATTAAGTAAGGTGTGCTGATTATTATAAGATGAGAAAATATTAGCATATATTTTTTATTCGGTTTTTGTAATCTATCGGTGTTGCTTAACTCTCTTTTTTATTTTCAATATATTATTTACATTTCTATAAGAACTCAATATATTTTAACAATATACCAAGAGTAAAGATTTCCCAGCTTTTTCCGCAGCGTTGCGTTTTCAAATTAATTATTTCGGCTTCTGCTGCTGCAGTTCGGTCCTGCTGCCATATCTAATTACGACTGCCCTTAATTATTTACGCATCGATAATTAACTGCACCTTCGCAGCGGTTCATCAAAATTGAAATCAATCCATATAGAATTTCCATCATTTCTATATAAAACACGAGGTATAATTAATGCATCCAATTTCCATTGATATTCAATAAAATAATACGTAATGCGGTGCAAATCAATGCGGATAACATCGACTGTAACATTTAACGTTTTCATTTGAGATTCAGAGAATTAATTCGACTATTGTAATCTAAGGACGTTGCTTAACTCTCTGTTAAATTCTTTATATTATTACGGCACGACTGATTCGAGTATTCTAATCCACCTGTTTTGCTTAACTCTCTATTCCTATTCTATATATTATTACAATTCTGTAAAAACAGAATTTATTTTCACAATATATTTAATATGTGCAAATTTATTAAGTAATGTGTGCTAATTGTTGCAATGTGCAATGTGTTATAAGATGAGAAAATATTAACATATATTTTTTATTCGGTTTTTGTGATCCATCGGTGTTGCTTAACTCTCTTTTTTCTTATCAATATATTATTTACATTTCTATAAGAACTTAATGTATTTTAACAATATACCAAAAGTAAAGATGATTATTTCAACGTTACTTTTAAGAATAATCTTAAATTTATTTATAAAAAAGGACTATCGGGAGCAATTTTTCCAAATTTGGTAATTCGATTTTTGTCATCCAAAATTTCCATGTTCTTTCATTATAAAGTCTTAATTTACTTTATAATGCAAATTCATATTTTTTCATTAACTGTAAAGTGTAAAAATTGATTGTATTACATTTTCTAATACATTTCGAGAATTCTGTTATTTTCAACTCATTTTTTGATATTTAACTTTGAATTGTTCGAATCTCCAGAAATTCGATATTCGATATTTGTCTTCCAAAATTTCCATGTTCTTTCATCAGAAATTCGATATTCGATATTTGTCTCCAAAATTTCCATGTTCTTTCATTATAAAGTCTTAATTTACTTTATAATGCAAATTCATAATTTTTCATTAACTGTAAAGTGTAAAAATTGATTTTATTACATTTTCTAATACATTTCGAGAATTCTGTTATTTTCAACTCATTTTTTGATATTTCACTTTCAATTGTTCGAATCTCCAGAAATTCGATATTCGATATTTGTCTTCCAAAATTTCCATGTTCTTTCATTATAAAGTCTTAATTTACTTTATAATGCAAATTCATAATTTTTCATTAACTGTAAAGTGTAAAAAATGATTTTATTACATTTTATAATACATTTCGAGAATTCTCAACTGAATTCTCGAGTTATTTTTAACTCATTTTTTGATATTTCACTTTGAATTGTTCCAATCTCCAGAAATTACTGATTCTACTTTTCTTTTAGTAACAATGTCTCAAATTAGTTCCTTTCTATACAATGTTCTAAAATTCCTATTTCATATAAAAGAACAAAATATTTTTTTTTTGATTTTCTATTAAACATAACAGTTTTTCTGTAGTCAAATTTTGATCAATAACAAATATTATATAATTAATTTGATTTACACCATCATTTTTTTATTCTGGTTCTTATAATTTGTTAAATCAATTAAATTTGGCTGTGTTTTCCTTATGGAAATAAATTATTATAACTTACAATTAATACTGATTTTTTAGCCTTTCTTACTCGATGCTGTAAGTAAAGTAAGTAATTCGATTGATTTTCATATTTTATTTTTACAAAATTGATCTATACTGACTAGTCTCTTAAATAAAAAATTGAACGAAGCTCATAATGTATCGATCTTGGTTTGGTGGTGGAATGAACATAAGTAGATTCTCCTTTTTCCATTCATCTTTTTTTTTACTTATTTTTTTTGTTTTGGAAGTAAGTTCCGTATTGGATTTACAGACATACAAAAGTCGTGTAAATAAATAAAATGATTGTAATGTGTGTCACCCAATAAGATGGACTTGTTAGTGGTGACCCTTGTCACCTGTCAGACGACGACGGCAGTCCAGGATCCTCCCGTTTCTTCCCGTTATCCTCGACGGTCGAAACCGCATTACACTACCAAACATCCACATTTCTTGTGTCATCCCTTCCAAACCCCAACACATCCTTTCATGAATATTTATTCACCTCCGTTGCGTAATATGCATACCATACATATTTGATAATGATATTAGTGCGATAGAATAAAACACGAACGTATACCAATTTTGTACAACAGTTTTCCACGATCATCTATCAAGATTATATTCATAAAACACATGATTTAATCAATATATACAAATATTTTACATATTACAGTTTTTAACACAGCTAATATACATAAGCATATGGACCAAGTCACCTATATTAAGAATAGGGCGAATATATCCGCCAATATTTTAAATTTCCATTATTTAATATAAGTTATATTGATATTGTAATAATCTGACACAATTCTAGTAATTTTTTACTAGATATACACGTATGAGGATATGATTTTTTTTTATAATTTTTAATTTGTTCATATTTAATGTAAAGATAAATTGAGAATTATATTAGTTAATTATTTCTAATAAAAAATAAACGGTTTTACTAATGTAAAATTTAATAATCATTATTCATTAAATCTGAATTAAATAATAAACTAATCACTTTTTTTTAATAAAATCCAATTTATTAATCGATTTTTTTTTATTTCTATAATTTTATAAAATTTATAAACAAAAAAATAAATGATTGAAGTTGATATAGAAATATCAAAGCTTTGATAAACAAGAAAACAAAATGGAATTTGGTGTACGTATAATGTTTTTTATTGGATTTTTCTCTGATGATGAATATACTTTTTTTTCTAATGAATCTGCCAAATTCTGGTAACGACTAAATAGTTTTGAAAATGTAACAAAATATGACAATGAGCAGAATACTTGTAAACCTTCCAAATTACATAATACAAATAAATTTTCATTTTAACAATACAGACAAATAACTAAAAACTTTCTTCTACTTTTAAAATGTATAAGGGAGATCAAGGGTGTTATATACTATTTTTTTTATTTCATTTTCAATATAAAAAAATATATAATCGAAGTCAACGGTAAAAAAAAACATGTGACAGATGTCATAGTTATATAAGTGCGGTGTCGCGGTGAATGTGCGTGAAATTTATATGGTTTTCGAACTGTATTAACAAGGACTAAATTCTATAAGCCTGTGTTTTTATCTCATCTAGAACAGTTCTGGTCATACAAGTGTAGTTCACTGAATCAGTGTTTGTAATAAAATCTATCTACTTTTTAATCCAAGCGTACTTGCAAGTTCAGCGGCAGAATATGAAGATTTTAGAACTAGATTAAAGTCCATCTGATACGGGAAATATGAGAATGGTTCCAATACTTCCTCCCCATCCTTCATCATTCGGGCGACGTCCTCACCTACAGCCTCTACAAACACCCATTCCATGAGATCTTCCAAATTTGGTAGTCCTAACTTGGTTGAGACATGACTGATAGATAATAAAGCTGTGCAATCTCTGAACCGAGATCCTGTCGTGCCAATTCGAAAGTTGGCATATTTGTGATTGGGAAACCTGAACATGAACATGTCCACGCAACCCACTAACATCCGGAAACTTCTATCATTGTCCCAACCGGTGTAACTGTCTACTACTTCGGTCATGGCAGGTGCATTCTGATTGTGGGCCTTCATCTGTTCACTGATCTTTTGGGCTACCGTAGTCTTGTATTCTTGAACAGTGGTCCTGATCATACGGTAAATTCCCAGAAGATAAATAGCTATCCAGGCGTCATCTGCTTTATCAGCAACCCCCGTCCCTGAGCTTTCTTTGGGATTGTCTACTGTTTGGATGTCTAAGATAGACAACGGAGTGACATCTTCCCCTCTAACACCGAGAGTCAAACCATATGACTTCCAATCATCATCTAATTCCATTGTGATCTCCTTATAGAAGAAATAAAGGAAAGTTTTCACATAATCCAATGTTAGATTATTACTGTCAATCATCCCCTTGATCACACCACGGCATTTCCCTAGATCAGACGAAGTCAAGTCGATGGTACATCTTGGTTTTTTATTCGGGTGCTTGTCAAACCATTCCTTCGGATATTGGGTAACCAATTTGGAGGATGGAGCCATAAGGTTTATGGGCAGTCCCGTCGCAACTCGTACTATTGAATGCATGATGAAATTTGTTATTTCAAGTACCTTGATCAAATCAAATCTTAGTTCTTTCATGCAACAGTTACCAACTTTATGCATGAAGTTTCAAGATAAGTTTGTGATGAGAAAAAAATGAAACATTTAACAAAATACATGAGAGTTGTCATAATTTTAGAAGAGCAATTCTGTAACGTTTTGGATTGAAGATGCATGATGATTGTTTTAAAGAATTAAACTGTTCTTAAGAAAGTTATTATATTTCAAAGTGCTGAAGAAAATTTCTGCTGCTTCAATGTTTCAAGAAAATGTGAAATTATCCAGAGAATCCTGATGTACTCTATGTTCCAAGTATTTAACTTATCAAGGTACTTCTAAAAAAACTTTATCAAATCTAAATAATGTTTGTGATTCTTTGCATGGACAAATCATATAATAGTATGAAGGATATTTCAAAGAAATACGAAATTGTTCTATTGTATTTCAAAGGAACATTCTGGTCCTTAAATGTTTCAAAGATATGTAAAATTATCTTCATGTACTTTGTGTTCCAAGTACTTTACTATCAAGGTACTTCTAATGAAACTTTTTCAAATCTTAATAGTGTTTATGATTCTTTACATGGACAAATCAAAGAAATACGAAATTATCCTCGAGGATCCTGCATATTTCAAGTATATTGAACGCATCTTCATTTGTAGATTCATTTGAATGCATGAATTATTGTACAAAAAGTGAAGGATGGTTGGGTCAAACTAAGGCAAGCATATTTCAAGTGCATTGAAGACACCTTGATTCGAAGATTAATTTGTCTGCATCAATCCTTGAACAAAACATTAAGCATTTTTGGATCAAACTAAGGCAAGCAATAATGAAATTATATCAAACAAAAAATTCCTAATCTTCATGTTTCCAGAACATTCAAGATACTTCAAAGAAACTCTCGTGAACTCCAACTCGCGTTCGTAATTTAGCTGTGCGCGTGTGATGAAATGAAGAACTAGGCGAAATTATTCCCTGTCCTTCACGTTCCAAGTATGCTGAAATAGGGAAGGTACGTCAAGAAAACTTTAATCAAATATTTGGCACGCTCGTAATTTGCTGCGCGCGTTGATTAAATGAGCAAATCACGAAAGCATAACGCAACCCTTTACCAAATAAGAATGGAAAAACCCTTCGCCACCCCTCGTGGCTTCTCTTTGCAAATACGTTTAATAAATTTGCTTCGGGCATGAATTTTCATCGGCGGTTACTTACGTGCCGTTGTTTTCATCCCTTGGCCGTCTTTGCAATTTAATAAAATTCGCCGCATACGGAACATAAACGCGAAATGAAAATGTAAAAGCGTATCATCTCGGATAGTTTTCTGGGTTGGGGGAGTTTTCCGTTACCCTCCAACCCCCGCCGGAGCGTGGCAATAATATTAGCTCGCACATAGTTTGCGCTTCCGGTTTTTCAATTTTCCGAAACAATTTCGTGAGGTTCTTTTTTTTTCCATCTTCTTGTGTATAGCTATGCATATGTATATTGGATGGATGAGAGACGTATGCAAGATGATCATAAATCTGTCAGACACACGGCAGCCTTACTAGTATTAGCAGTTTTTGTATAGAAGATTTCGCTACCTTTTCCACACATAATTTCTCTTTCAACCCCAGTTTCGTTTTTGTTGGCTGGAGCATCGATTAAGTTATGAGTTTCTATGCATAATTGTGGGGTCTTCGTGATGAATGGTACAGTTGGAGGCGTTGCAGACCGGTGGACGACCAGCACGAGTTCTCTTCTCGCAGTTTCTCTTCCTGACGCCTTGAATATGATGCATGGGATCCCAGCAAAATTACTGTCACAATAATGGAAAGGATTGCGCCTTCATCCCTTTCACCCGCATTCATTCATTTATTTTTCTCGTTTGCTGTCGTGTAACGCGACGGAAGGACATAATTCAATTAGTCTCCTTTTTATTCAATTATCCTTACCATGATGACGCTTTTCATTTTTTCAGATTTGTGTTTGATTTGTACAAAATCTTTACTTAATCATTATAAAAATGTTATTTATTCTTTTCAAACTCTTCTAAGATGGTCATTTTTTTTATTAATTTCTCAACGTAACATTTTTTTTTAATATTACATAATAATAATGATACTATTTACAATTTCAAATGCGACATCAGTTTCTTTTATTTATTTTGTAAATATTACAAATGTTCAAATACTTTTTCGAATGTTACATCATATTAATATTAATGAAAGTAAGAATTTATTCTCGAATTAATATGTTTAAAAAGCACGTATGTTGTTCTCTCATTATGGACATGTTTATTTTGGTAATATTACATAATAATAATATCAATAATATATGCAAATCGAAATTTTCTATTGTATTTTCAAACGACGTTGATTTTTTTTAAATTTCTCAACATTACAAATACAATTCTTTTTTTATTTTTACATAATAATAATTAAAGTATTTACCCTATAAAAAACGTTGTTTATTACATAACAATAATATTATTTATTTAGTACACTTTACTTTTTAATAATTAGAAACACATCAATTGCATCTAAATAATAATATGCGAATGGCTACATTATTTATTGTTTTGTAAAAATGGTTTCTTCTTTAATTATTTCTTCACAACTTAAACAAAATATATTTTATTATTTTTATTCAATTTTATTTTAAATTTCTTTTCTGCAACACTTTGGATGGTCTCTATGGTAAAATTGTAGAACTTTCTTAAAATGTTATTATCTTTTAACTTTGGTGCTTTTTGTAATATCTTCTTGATTTTGATCTTGATTGTCTTGTCCTATTTTGATTTTGTTTTCTGTTTTATTGGCCTATTATACTCTTCCTCGAGGACTTTCTGCATATTATCTGATTTTCGTTCCTGCAACACTTTAGATGGTCTATACTATAGAGTCTATAGCATAGCGACCATTAAATTGTAGTATCTTTTATTTTTTTATGCTTTTTGTAATATCTTCTTGATTTTGATTGTCTTGTCCTATTTTGATTTTGTTTTCTGTTTTATTGGTCTATTATTTTTAAGGTCTTTCTGTATATGATCTTATTTTCTTTTCTGCAACACTTTAGATGGTCTATAACATAGAGACCATCAAATTGTAGTTGTATTCAATTGTAGTGGCTTTTATTTATTTTTTGCTTTTTGGTAATATCTTCTTGTATGTGATATGATTTGTTTTGTTCTTTTACGTAATAGTTGTTATAGTTTCTATGATGTAAATGTAGATTCATTTTAAATTTTAAATATATTTTAGTTATGATACTTTTTAATATGTTTATAATATATGGTCATGATAAATTACTTAATTATGTTAAATTTTTCTGCAAAGCTATTATGATCTTTTTGTTTAGGATCTGATTTTATTTTGTCTACTTTTTTGGATTTATTTTCTGCAACACTTTTCATGGTCTGTATGATTTAATTTGGTACATTATTTTTGTGTTTTGGTACATTATACCTTGAGTTTTTTTTTCTGTGGAATTTGATTGTCTTTTCTGCAACAGTTTTGAGCATTTTTTAATATCTTTTACTGTCTCATTTTGGATTTGTCTTTATGATATAGTCTTTTTTTGTCCTAATTTGGATATCTTTTTTTAATTCTTCTTAAAGCTGTTTGTATTTTGACATGTGATATTCTTTTATAATCTTGTTCTGTCACATGTCCTTTTCTCCTATTTTGGATTTTTTTTTCTGCAACAACACTCGACGATCTGCATGATATATTTCTTATTTTTTTTTAATATTTTAACATATTTTTAATTTTGATTATTTTTTAGATATGTTCTAGTTCTAATCTAATTGTTGTCCTATTTTGGATATCTTTTCTGCGATACATTTTGATAGATAGATAGATTTTGATAATTGTACATTGTTTTTGAAATTTTTATTCTATTTTTTTACTTTAAGTTTAGTAATAATTTGATATAGTTTCGTGAATAATATTATTTTATAACTGAATTACTTTTGATTATTTCTCTTGCTTTTAAATTTGTTTGGTTAAACTTAGTGATAAATGTTGAGATTATTTTCAATGTTTGTAATGATTGTGATGTCTGCCTTATTTTCATTTGTCACAACTATGTCAACTGTACATCAAAGACATATACCTGTATGTTAACTACAGTTATCCAAAGTATAATTTATATAAGACGTTGACTGCTCGTTCTCACCAACTTTGGGAAAACTCATTATCAAGGCAGGGCCCGAGGCCAATGGGATGGGATTTGCAGCAACATCTGCTACATATTTTATGGGAACACACGTTTCGTCGCCATCGAACATAATATGTGGCAATGTACTATGAATTTTTAAGGGTGTCCTCAGCGTCCCCATCCACGCACGTCGTTAAACTTGAACCTCCGCAATTATCCAATTTGGAAAGACGTGAGCGTTATTGTTTCTTCTCTTCTCTTGGTTGGAATGGATCAGGAATTTCCTCAGTTCACCAACTTTTATATTGCATAAGGCGATTGCATTTTTGTGTGGTCTCGTGGAAAATACGTGCTCTAGGTGAAAAGGATATCAAACGGTCGAACGGAGAAGAAAGGTGGAATGCTTGCAGCTCAATAGATGCGATTTTTGACAAAAAAAAAAGTTTCGCCTTTAACTTCCGCTTAGAAATGATCGATTTTTGACAAAATGTTGTATGTTTGAAGAAAGTTATATTTGAAAATTCAATTTGTTACATTTGTATATGTATATTTATAAATATTTATGTGATAGTTTTGAAACTGACTGGAATTATTTAGGAATTAAAAAAAAAACAATTAGAATTCTTGTGCTTTGAATATTGGAAAAAGAAGTACAGAAAATTATAAATTTTGTGTTAAAATTCTTTCAATATAATTTCTAGAGTAAAAATGATGTAATTTCTAACTATGTAATTTTATGTAATACCATGATTTTTACATGATATTTAATTATTTATTTTTCTGAAGTAGAAAAATTCTTAATTGTATTTTTTTTAAAGTAATGAAAATTATTGATTTTAAAT